ATTCGATAGATAAAAATAGAGGGGGAGGAGGCGGAAAAATGGAAATATGAATTCTTACCCAGACGTGGATTCCAGTAGACTTTGGAGAAATCCAGTTTGAAGGAAACATTATTTTCTTTTACAGTGGTTAGGTAGACTGGTTCTCCGGCCATGAGGTCCACGCTGAAGGTGCGGAAGTCAGTGTCGATTTTTGAAGCCTTGTGAAGCACAGTGCGCACTCGAGGCAGCTTATTCAGGATGACCTCGCCTTTGGAGTGTTGGGTTTGTCCGTTGGTTGGTTGGTTATAAGATTAGGCGAGAAATCGTAAAAAAGGAAAGAAAGGAGAGGCTGAACGTTAGAGACAATGCGAAACCGCCTAGGAAAAAGGCAGGACAACGGAGGAAACTGAAGCAAATTCGAAAAAAAAAATGAGAAATCCTCCCACGTTGCTCGCGTCCGCATTTCAGTACTTTGAAAGCAAATAATTTGGGCCATAGCAGCCCAAAATGCGAGAAAAGATTTGTTGTTTCTGAGCAAACCTCAGACTCTGAGAGCGAACTTAATTGCCGAATGACTGGCGACAAATGAAAAAGAGCATGAGGAGGAAAATGTTTGGATTTTGCAAACCAACGTCCAAAACATTGCGGTGTGCACTGGCATTGACGGTATATTAACTGTAAAATCTGATCTTCTGGCAAACGCTAAGTTGATTCATGCATTTGGTAATCCTGCCTTTTCGACCAATATTCTCCTGACAACTGCAAACCCGCAAAATAAATTATATTTGGTCTATACTTTTCTATGTTTAATTGTTTTAGACGCTTATTAGACGCTTAGCACTTTACCTGGTTATGGCGAAAATTGGACGTATATGAGTCGCTCGGGAGAAAGCGTAGTCTGAACGTATAAATGTTTTCACTTTTGAGTAAATGAACACTTTGGGGACTATGGGTTCCGTGATCGTTTCTTCTTCTCACTTAGTAGGCTGTTTAGGACGTTCATCTGAATCTACAATATGTGAACTACCACACGTAGTGTTCCGAAATTTACAAATGATCGCAAATCATTTCGAGGGCTTTTCAAATTGAGCAGCTACGTTTCTCCTCCCGCCATTCGCATGTAAATTTTTGTATATATGCGTCGGTTGGCCTACTTCGCCCATTATAAACCGATTTGTTTACCTCTTTGTTAATTTGAACTATAATGAGATCATCCGTGCACGATGCTAGCACCGTTTTGAAAGCAGTCCAATTTGGCTTATATTTGACGAATTTTCCAAGGACATTTATCCATGATGTCGAAAATTACAGTCATTGACGACTATGGATTGCTTTTGATTTCCCGCTGTTCTGAGTTTGTGCGCCTAGTTTTATTCCTTGTGAACGGAGGATGTTTTTGCTGAAAAGTTTGGAATTATATTTTCAAAATAAAGTGTGCGTCTCTCTCTCTCTCTCTCGCAAATTGGCACTAACGAATATACCAAAGCTTTGAATTAACGACTTCAGGTGAATTTAAAGCATTAAATTAATAGAAAAGCGGAAAATTCCGAAAAAGTCAAAAATCGTGAAGAATTAGTCAAGTGGAGATGTTAACGATGTTATCGGTGTTATCGATTTTTTCTGTATGAATTCAGTTGTGTATTTTCTCTAACGTTCATT